AAAAAAGCAAGTAATCGTCACATGTCAGATGGATGGAGAAAAAGAGTGACTGAGATGAACTGACAGAGTTTTGAAGCTGTAGGGGTTCGTGCCACATGGCCACCAGGTGGTCTCTAATCCAATCACTCACACATGATCTGTGCCCTTTCACAGGAAACACTGGGACCCAAGCACTAATTAAAACTAAATCTGAACACAAGTACTGCAAACAGGATATAAGAGATTTAAAGCAACAGCTGGGCCACTTAGAAGTCTGGAAGACAGAAGCAAAGTAGACACAAAAGCATGATGCATGAGGTTTTCATTTGGGACGATTTTTAGTCACTCTTGTAGCATTTGAATGCAATCAAGACGTTCGATCAGTTTTAGGCATTGTAAACTTTCCCTCCTCCCTTGTTATAACTAAATTACAGATGCAATTACAGATGCATGTCTATTACAATTACAATTACAAATAATTGTAATATTGATTCTGCTACAGTTAATTCTAAGATCTGATCTAAATATTCATAATTAATTATAACCAGTTATAATTACTTATAAATAGGATTCCCTTTTGAGCTAATTTGCTAAAACTGCAAAACGGACATTTTAAAAATCCAAAATCCAATACTGTCCAACAAATGCAATGATACGTAATATTATTTTACTATAGGAGTGCTGGAGAGAGATGAGAGTGGAAGCAGTAGCTCACTGACCAAAGCCAAAGTCCTCTACAGGTCCTGCACTAATGAGAGTGAGTATAAATCAATTGATTGAAGACTTTTGACAATATAGCTCAGGTTTAATACTATATCTTCATAAATTGTCAGAAAGATGCTGTGACGACAGTCTGTGGAAGCTGTCTTTATCAAATCATTATGCTGGTCTTCAAATGAGCTGCCAAGCATGCAGAGATTCTCAACAAACAAATTCAATTTCAACAACTTCAATATTCACTGGCTGCTTAAATAACCCTGCATTACTTCAATATTTTCCTGACAGGCCTCACTGAACAGAGAGGTGGGATGCCTCTGCTTACAATGCTGCCAGATGTCTTTGAGTGGCCTATAGCAACAGATGATTGGGACACCAACTACGGTAGGAGAAGATTTCTCCGGAGGTTTTTATGCATGAGCCCAATTACCTCATAGGTAAGTTGTATCCCAATTTCTCCTCTCTAATCTCCTCTACAGGAATGAATTGGAGAGCGGAAGATGCCATAGCCAAACTGAATGAGAAATATGGAAAGCAAGTCCTAATTAGCTTTTTTATTGGTACAGATGACAGAGACTCCAATGCGCACATCATTCATGTAGGTGTGCGCAACAACAGACTACATTTTTTCTCTTTTGCATACAAACACAAATGCATTTTCACTTTAGTTTAAAACACTTCTCCAAAGAAAAAAGGGGTATTTCAAGCCAAAGACTTAAAATCGCATAATTGCTTTAAAAAAAACAGTATCCTTGTTTATTGTTCTGTTATGTTTTAACTGGAGTAACTGATACAGTTTTATTGGGGCGGCACTACATGTGCATGCATTGGGTTTTCTATTAAGAATGAAAGGCTGATTGTCTCTTGGTTTTATCCTCTGTGCCAGTTTGATCAGCCAAGACTTGGCCTCTCCTCAAGAGACTACTATGTGTGCACGGGGCCATATGAGGAGGTAAGAATAGCCTGTTAAACAAAAACAGGTGGATTTTGTCAAACTTATCCTTGTGCTTCTATCTCCCTCTCTCTTTTCCCCCTTCACCTCTCTCCTCCCTGATAAATAGACCAGCTTAGACCAGAATGAATTTTCATGCTGGTTCAGGCTGGTCTAACCAGTGGACAAGTAGGGTCTCTAGCTGTCTGTCTCTCTCTTCAACATTTTCTTTCTCACTTTATTTATCCAACAAAAAGCCCTTTTTTATGAAATTTACAAAATTTAGGAGTTACAGATAATACAACCCATGGCCTTTTTCATATCTGGAGTTCTTGCTGCATGAATTGAAATGATTGCGGCATGAGTCTCAGAACATGATATTGAGTTTTGCTTCCGGCTTCACCTTGGATTTGCCCAGATCACACAAGTTAGAAGTGAAAGATAAGCCCAGTCCATTTCCTAAAAGATCCAACAGTCTACTCAATTAAAAATAGTTATTCAATTAGCATATAATTTCTTTTGAACGATCACTCTTGGACTGGAGTGTTCAGACTATCTAGAGTTATCATCAACTGATCGTTTTTCAGGTCAGATGTATTTGTACCTGGATGGGAGACCTCCTGGGAAAACTAGGTTGCTGCTGGAAGAGGTGTTAGTGAGGCCAGCAGGGGGTGCTCACCCTGTGGTCTGTGTGGGTCTTAAAGCCCCAGTATAGTGATGGCGACACTATACTGACAAAAAGCACCCTCTTTCGGATGAGACATTAAACCGAGGTCCTGACTCTCTGTGGTCAAGTCAAGTCACCTTTATTTATATAGCGCTTTTAACAATACAGATTGTGTCAAAGCAACTGAACAGCATTAATTAGGAAAATAGTGTGTCAATAATACAAAATGACAATAGTAAACACAAATTTTTCAGTTAAAGGCAGTTCATCATTGAATTCAGCGATGTCATCATCCAGCTCAGTTCAGTCTAAATAGTATCTTTGCAATCATTTGCAATCAAGTCAACAATATCGCTGGAAATGAAGTGTCCCCAACTAAGCAAGCCAGAGGCGACAGCGGCAAGGAACCAAAACTCCATCGGTGACAGAATGGAGAAAAAAACTTGGGAGAAACCAGGCTCAGTCGGGGGCCAGTTCTCCTCTGACCAGACAAACCAGCAGTTCAATTTCAGGCTGCAGCAAAGTCACATTGTGCAGAAGACTCATCTGGTTCCTGTATCATCGAGACGTTAAACCGAGGTCCTGACTCTCTGTGGTCATTAAAAATCCCAGGATGTCCTTCGAAAAAGAGTAGGGGTGTAACCCCGGCATCCTGGCCAAATTCGCCCATTGGCCTCTGACCATCATGGCCTCCTAACCATCCACATATCTGCTGATTGGCTTCATCGCTCTGTCTCCTCTCCACCAATAAGCTGGTGTGTGGTGGGCGTTCTGGTGCAATATGGCTGCCGTCGCATCATCCAGGTGGATGCTGCACACTGGTGGTGGATGAGGAGATTCCCCCCTTCTATGTAAAGCGCTTTGAATGCCCAGAAAAGCGCTATATAAATGTAAGGAATTATTATTAATTATTATTATTAGTGCTATTTGCCTTTATTATGTTCCAGGCCTGGTTAATTTAATACAAAAAAAGGCAATAAAGAAAGTTAGAAAGGGACAAACAGATGGAAACACTTGGACCAAGATCTTGTCTTTTATTTCCAGTTTGAAGATGATCAGTGATGATTATGTAACTTTTTGCAGGAAAACAGAGGATGAGAGGAAAGATGGAATTAGCTTGAATAATTTCTCACAGAGTGCACAAATGATTCCTAAACGACTGGAAAGCCAGGATCTGGGTGCTATCATAAATGAATGAAGAAAATATGCATGCTAACAGGTATTGAATTTAGCACTCATGTGTTTTCAATGTGTTTTTTTCTCAGGCCTGTGTGACATATGAGAACTTCATGACTGACTTGGCAAAGCTTATCCGGACTGACCGGGGTCTGGAGGTCAATGACACTAATATCAGGCAAGAGGTTGCCCGGGTGATGATGATGGAAAAGGAAATAGCTAATGTAAGCATGGAAAGCTTCTAAAATTAAAACAACAACCACTCTGACAAAATCTACTGGTGTCTTATCAGAACTGAGTCATTGCAGCAATCAACACCTTTCAACCTATTGAGTAACTGCAGCATTTGAATATCACCAGATGTTCAGTAATGTATGTTGCAACTACTTAAAGCAGCACTATGTAACTTTTTCTGTGTTCAAAATTTGCCAAATGTATATAATGAGGTATGTTTCTTTGTTTAACCCATATGATGTGTTTGTGCTCCACACTGAAACTATTTGCTAGAGTGGCTGTACTGCTCAACTCTCTGCCATGTTTTCCCTGTTCCTGGTGATTTTTTAAAAACTTTTATGATAGTGAGGTCATTCCTGTTTAGTTTACACAGTATGGATTACAAGCCTAGTAATTTGTGTTGGAGCTCGAGTCAGACCCACATTGCTTTTGAGACCTTCCTCTTGACACACTAATAATACAGTTAAATTCTCATACTCTGCATTTGTGAAATTGGGGTTTGGTTTAGAGGACTGTGCACAGCAAGATAATGTTCCAGATTCTCTAGAGGCAATTTCATTTCAAACATTTCAAAAAGAATACTTACAGTATTAGGGTATTGGGCTGCTGTGCGTATAAAGTGAAGGAACTGAAATAACTGGACACAAAGCTGTTAAATCTCCTTCTTACATCCTATGAAACACTGTCACCCTTTTTGCAATGTCATGCTCTACTTGTATTAACAGGCGACAGACACACAAGAGGACAGAAACAACCCGGTTCTACTTTACAACAAGATGCCTCTGGAGACCCTAAACAACAACTTCACTCTGGAGTTTGATTCCAGGGTAAACAAAAAACAGCACAACCTCTCATGCAACTGCAATGGTTTATAATACACTTTAATTCCTAACATGTTACCTAAAATATGTAGCCTATGTCACGACACACACATGAGGATAACAGGAACTAAGGAGCGAGGAGACGAGGAATATACGTAAACAGTCTTTAATCCATGAGACACAGGGTACATCAACACTGGAGACAGTAGGAAACACATCCACGTAACGAGTAGACCAGACAAAAGGGAAACTGAACAGGCAGGAACTTAATACCGCTAGAGCGCCACAAGTTACATAATGCTGCTTTAATGTTTCTGTTTTAGTGAATATTGAGGTATGTTGTGCAATTTACTGTAACACTTTATAATAAGTATACACTAATAAAGTACTTACAAATAATTTGCACACCATTAGTTTATAGTTAAACCAACATTAATGACATTTTCCATGACCTAATCTAAAAGTGAGAACAATTCACTCATTACTATCAATTAACAATTCCTTTACTTCGAGCTAATTAAACAATATTGTGTTATTTACAGTGATAATAAATGAACTCACTATTTGTAGAGTCTATTAATGTATTAGCTACAGTTTATAAACTATGAATTAACTATAAATTAATAGTTATTAATTACTTATTTATTAATACTTATTTATTGTTAGCTTATTTATTGTTACCCAATTTACTTGCAAATTCACTTTAAAAATATATAATATTTTATACTTTATACAGTGGTTGATACTGTTCATTACTAATTTGCATAGCCCATCAACCAAATCACTACATTTAGAGTAATTTAGAAACACAGAAAGGCACATGAGGAGCAAAACACACATAAAACACGGACCAGAGTCTGACAGCCTATACATTTTTCTTTATTGAACAATATTATTATCTGCAATGAAATTATGGATTTTCATTTTGTTCTGCAATGCTCCTATCCAGGTGTTCAACTGGACACTCTTCACTAATAAAATCATGGACACAGTTGGCTTTCCCATTACAGACAGTGAGGAGGTTATTGTGTATGCCCCAAACTATTTTAAGAGGCTCAACCCTGTCCTTGCCAAGTACACAAAGAGGTAGTTTCACATGCAGTCTTCTGTCTAGTGCTTTAGAATGTGTTATTAATGTAGTTATTGAACACTACCATACTTCTCGTATTATTTTTCTAGTGTACAATGTGCATATGGTATTTGCATTTTCTGTATACATGGAATATATGGCCTACCACCTTTTCAAAATGTGTAGAATACACTGTGTGAGATGCTGTATCCCAGAATGAAATGCCCTACAAATGCCTGAACAAGAAAGAATATAGACCAGGACTTCATTTTGTCCATCATGAGGTTGTTTGCTAATTGCTGCAGTCGTTTCATACAAACAAAAAAACCCAAAACAAACAAACAATTAGCTTTACTTAATTTAATTGAGGAAAGTTTTTACACGCAATTTCATTTAGTTAATTTGTCACACTTTAATTTAAGGTCCAATTCTAACTATTAACAAACCATTAACTGCAACTTTTGCCTCAATAAACTCCTAATTTGCTGCTTATTAATAGTTAGTAAGGTAGTTGTTAAATTTAGGTATTGGGATTACGGATGAAGATTATGGTCATGCAGAATATGTGCTTTAAAAGTACTAATAAACAGCCAATATGTTAATAATAGGCATGCTAATAAGCAACGAGTTAATAGTGAGAATTGGTCCCTATACTAACATGTAAACGTTCATTCAAAATAAATCTGTTTACTTGGGTCAACACCGTTTAGTTGGTTTAGGTCAAATTAATTCAGTGTATTATGTTTAACTTATGTACATTTTCTTATGTAGGACCAAATCTTTATTACTTTACTTAAGTTTAATTAATTTTCTCATGTTTACACAAGCAGTTTTGTTCTTCATTATACAAAATGTATATAATGAACAAATAAGGAAAGACTGGTGTCATTACTGACAATAGCTATTACTCGCTGAGTGCCCACAGCCTGAGCACAGTTGAAACTTTTCTGCATAATGGTAAGCACAAAATTCAAAAACTTTAAAGAAAGTCCTATAAATGTCCAACACAACTGAACATTAACTGAACATTAAATACTAACATGTCTTAAAAGGACTTTCTTGAATTCAAAAACATTCAAGAAAGTCCTATAAATGTCCAACATAACTGAACATTAAACATGTCTTTCCCTTTACTGAAAAACACATAAAATAACACTTCATTCCTAAATTTACTCTTCTAATGCAGTCCCTTGCAAAACATGCTGAGAACTACAGATCCACTGCCCATTTCATGATTCATGTAGTTTTAACACAAATGAATTAAGTAACCTCCAATTTTAAATATGAGTAGAGTTAACACAATAAAAGTGTTACAAAATGTTAAAAAATCTTGTTTATTTAGCTCATTTCAGTTACACAGAAAAAAAGTTTTGTGACACGTTGCTTGAGGGGAGGTTTTGAAACTCGTTTTGCTATTGGAAAACCCTATTGCCCAGCCTGCGCTGGTACACATCATCAGAGATGTCATTGCATTGCGAGGGGGAGGGGGTATTAATATTTTTGATAAAAGATTATGAATGCACATGAATTTAAAAAAGTGCAAATTAAAAATTCCTTGTCATTAACAAACATTATGTCATGTTTAAAAGATCATTACGTAATATATACACTACCTTTCAAAAGATTGATCAAAATACAGTAAGAAAAAATACATTGTGAAATATTATTACAGTTTAAAATAGAATTTTCTCTTTTAATATACTTTAAAATATAATGTATTCCTGTGGTGACAAAGCTGAATTTTCATTAGCCATTACTACAGCTGTTAAGAAATCATTAATATGTTTGCTTATTATCAATGTTGGAAACAGCCGCTTAATATTTGTGTGATACATTATGATGAATAAAAAGTTAAAAAGAACAGCATTTATTAAAAATATAAATATTTTGTAACAATGTAAGTCTTTACTATCACTTTTTATCAATTTAACATATCCTTGCTGAATAAAAGTATTCAGTTCTTTCCAAAAACTGATCCCAAACTTCTGAAATTATTACAAAAGATACCTACTTTTAATATGTGAGCAACTTGTAGATGATTTTCATTATAATGATGTATTTAAAATAATGTGGCAATATTTTTAAATTCCTTGCCAGACTCATAGGAATCCACAACCTTTTTTTTCCTGAAGGCCTTGCAGAAATCTTTAAATTGTGGCATGATGACACCACACAACTCAATAGCATAGGGAACACTAGACACTACATATGACATATGAGAGATTTAAATAAGACATATTCCTCCTGCACTCCCTAAGCAGGTTTTAATCACTGACACTCAGTCTTGACTGGCACCTGAGTCGAATTTTATGGATATGAAGGTGTGATAAATATAAGGATGTACTTTCTTTTTCCATGTCACTGATATGTTCTTAAGCTGAATTTAAATTGTGAAAAGTTCTACAAAATGTCAATTTAAAGTGCCATTTGTTAATGTGTATAAATTTCATTAATATGCACTGTTTCAAAAAGGGTCAAATGTTTGCTTGTCAAAATATGTCAAAAAAGCTGTTTCCATGGAATGTACTTTTTTTTTTTTCCCACATGACTGTACATACAGTATAAATCACTCTGTGATTGTATGTGCAGGGACATTCAGAACTACATTGTATGGCGTTTCGTTATGAATCTGGTGGTTGGTTTGAGTAGGACATACAGGGAGACCAGGAAAGCATTCAGAAAGGTAAGGAGCAAAGAAAACGTTCAAACTGTGAATTACAGGCATACTTTTATACACATTTATAATCTTGCTACCACCCCTCTCAGGCTATCTATGGGACCACCTCTGAACCAGCAGTATGGAGACAGTGTGCCATCTATGTGAACAACAACATGGAGAATGCTGTGGGGAGACTGTATGTGGATGAAGCCTTTGTAGGAGATAGCAAAGACATGGTGAGCTGTATGTGTACAGTATATGCCTGTATGGGTCCTATAATGGTTCTTGAAAATGTGCTTGTGTGTGTTTGTACATACTCTTGAGTCCCGTGGGATGATTTGAATTGGATCCATTTTCTCGTATTTATGCAAGAACTGCTGAGCAGTGCACCATTACCACCTGTCATAGAACACACTATCTAACACTCCATTAATCACTGGACTCTCTTGGCCTCAGGCCCAACACATGTACCCGACAGCACAGTGTGTGCGCGGTTGTTTCTTCAAATATGGCCTCTTGAAATAGGAAAATGTAAAAAATTCACACTCACTAATTAAATTTTTCTACTAACATTGTCGAAAAGCAGACATACATGCATACATTTTTACGAAACCCTGACATAATTCCATCGCATCTCGATCTATGTGTGTTTAACAGTTTCTGTGGAAATGACATTTTAAACATTTTAGAATAAAATGGCATACTGCTTTTTTTATTTTATTTTTTTTACAATATTTGTAGCCTAAATACACACTTGTAACCTAAATAATAGTAAATATTTACTATCACAACTTGACTGGAAATGATAATCAATATAAATATTCTGCTCACAACTGATATTTAAAAAGTTAAAAAGAACAGCATTTATTAAAAATATAAATATTTTGTAACAATGTAAGTCTTTACTATCACTTTTTATCAATTTAACATATCCTTGCTGAATAAAACTATTCAGTTCTTTCCAAAAACTGATCCCAAACTTCTGAAATTATTACAAAAGATACCTACTTTTAATATGTGAGCAACTTGTAGATGATTTTCATTATAATGATGTATTTAAAATAATGTGGCAATATTTTTAAATTCCTTGCCAGACTCATAGGAATCCACAACCTTTTTTTTCCTGAAGGCCTTGCAGAAATCTTTAAATTGTGGCATGATGACACCACACAACTCAATAGCATAGGGAACACTAGACACTACATACGACATATGAGAGATTTAAATAAGACATATTCCTCCTGCACTCCCTAAGCAGGTTTTAATCACTGACACTCAGTCTTGACTGGCACCTGAGTCGAATTTTATGGATATGAAGGTGTGATAAATATAAGGATGTACTTTCTTTTTCCATGTCACTGATATGTTCTTAAGCTGAATTTAAATTGTGAAAAGTTCTACAAAATGTCAATTTAAAGTGCCATTTGTTAATGTGTATAAATTTCATTAATATGCACTGTTTCAAAAAGGGTCAAATGTTTGCTTGTCAAAATATGTCAAAAAAGCTGTTTCCATGGAATGTACTTTTTTTTTTTCCCCACATGACTGTACATACAGTATAAATCACTCTGTGATTGTATGTGCAGGGACATTCAGAACTACATTGTATGGCGTTTCGTTATGAATCTGGTGGTTGGTTTGAGTAGGACATACAGGGAGACCAGGAAAGCATTCAGAAAGGTAAGGAGCAAAGAAAACGTTCAAACTGTGAATTACAGGCATACTTTTATACACATTTATAATCTTGCTACCACCCCTCTCAGGCTATCTATGGGACCACCTCTGAACCAGCAGTATGGAGACAGTGTGCCATCTATGTGAACAACAACATGGAGAATGCTGTGGGGAGACTGTATGTGGATGAAGCCTTTGTAGGAGATAGCAAAGACATGGTGAGCTGTATGTGTACAGTATATGCCTGTATGGGTCCTATAATGGTTCTTGAAAATGTGCTTGTGTGTGTTTGTACATACTCTTGAGTCCCGTGGGATGATTTGAATTGGATCCATTTTCTCGTATTTATGCAAGAACTGCTGAGCAGTGCACCATTACCACCTGTCATAGAACACACTATCTAACACTCCATTAATCACTGGACTCTCTTGGCCTCAGGCCCAACACATGTACCCGACAGCACAGTGTGTGCGCGGTTGTTTCTTCAAATATGGCCTCTTGAAATAGGAAAATGTAAAAAATTCACACTCACTAATTAAATTTTTCTACTAACATTGTCGAAAAGCAGACATACATGCATACATTTTTACGAAACCCTGACATAATTCCATCGCATCTCGATCTATGTGTGTTTAACAGTTTCTGTGGAAATGACATTTTAAACATTTTAGAATAAAATGGCATACTGCTTTTTTTATTTTATTTTTTTTACAATATTTGTAGCCTAAATACACACTTGTAACCTAAATAATAGTAAATATTTACTATCACAACTTGACTGGAAATGATAATCAATATAAATATTCTGCTCACAACTGATATTTATTTTCGCCTCATCTTTTGCTTTGGTATATGAAAGTGCATGTATTTGAAGACACACCTTAATTGTAGAATTCTCTTCAATTACTGAAATAAATCTTTAGGAAGATTAGTATTTCTTTATATTTTAATTGATTAAGTGATGTTGTATGATGAATTACTTGTATATATAATAGCCTAATGTACACGCATTTCATGTACAGGATGTTCTGTTTACATTGGTGAATATCAGCTTGCTTGAAGACGTTTTTTTTTGGCACGTCAGCAGCGTTTGGGTTTACGATTATACTCTCCTGCAAACTAGCATGCATAAGAGCAAACGTTAGCATTGTGTTTGCTTGTCCATGATCAGGTGACCACTGCAAGGCCCACCCACAAATCATTCCTCACATTAATGTCGTGCCAGTGGGTTTGAGGTCACCAGGATAATGTTACAGATATGCACACAAAGTCATATGCCAATAATTAGTCTTATCCAACACTGTCTATCTGAAAAAGTCTATCAAAAAGTAATGAGAACATTCAGGGAACTGTCAGTGGTCTCAGTCTGCCAGTTTTATAAATGAGAGAACAAGATGTCTTGTAAGTTCCAGTTAAAACAAATCCATCATGCAGTGTGTGAAAATACATTACAGATTGCTGATTCTTTATCCAACTTTCCATAACTTTATCATTGTCAAACATAAACAAAATAGATACAGTTTTGGTATTTATGCACAGGTCATTGGTTTTAAATGGGTGATAAAGAGCACAAAACGGTCCTTTTTCTTTTCTTTCTTTCTTTTTTTTTATTTTTAGAAAAGTTAAGATATATTTGTATTCATTTGCAATTTATTATTGTATTACAGACATGGCTCATTTCTTTTAGACTTGCTGAATAATGACAACCTACTAAACAATTCCCAACCAGAATGTGAATGGAATTTCTGTGTCTCATGATGTCCTTCTCTTTGATTTTCTCAGATGGATGAGATGATCACTAACATCAGAGAGGTATTTGTGAGTAATCTGGAAGATCTAGCCTGGATGGATGCTGAAACTAAGAAAGCTGCAGAGGAGAAGGTGAGGCATATTTTTAATTCTATGTTTCAAGTTTAAGGTTAATGATACTGTGCAATCACTGCTGATCAAAAGATGCCAAAACATGACAAAAAGTATCCTTGAAACCTCATTCCATAGAAATCTTGATCTTGACTAAAGAAAGAGTTTGCTTATAATTGACTTTTCGCTGTACTAAAGACACATGTTAAAAATACTATATCTTTACTCTTCTTCACTACAGGCACGAGCAATCAGAGAAAGAATTGGTTTCTCAGAAAATATCATGAACAACACATACCTGGACCAGGAATACGAAGATGTGAGTGCTTACAAGATGAAGGGTGAAGTGAGGAGTCAGGAGGACTTCAAAAAGATCAAGTTAATTTAAATAATTGAAAACTAATCTGTTGTGCAAATCTTCTATTTTCCTATTAGTTAAGCTATAATGCAGAAGAATACTTTGAGAACATCCTAAAGAACTTGGAGTTTGGCCAGAAGAAACGCTTAAAAAAACTGAGAGTCAAAGTGAACAAAGAAGAGTAAGAACTCATTCGACATATGAATGGATAACTATGCTCTAAAATAGAGTTTCCATTTTCCCAGCTTAGTAACTGTCATAAAACCCTTACGAATTAAGAGATCTCATTAAATATTAAAGTGACATGCATCTTTAATTTAAGGTGGATCACAGGAGCTGCTGTGGTCAATGCATTCTACTCATCTAGCAGAAACCAAATAGGTATTTGAATCGCATTTATACAATGTAGCATAGTAACTACAAAAAACAAATCTGCTTTGTCTGATCAAGTAAGAATTCATTTGAATGATCTGCTTTCTCTTAGTATTCCCTGCAGGTATTCTTCAGCCACCGTTCTTTGGTAAAGGTCAGCCCTGGTCTCTGAACTATGGTGGCATTGGGATGGTCATTGGGCATGAGATCACTCACGGCTTTGATGACAATGGTATCACACTAGAAACAGATCTCCCTCCCTTACATATTTTGTCACGTAACAGTGTTGTAAGGGTTCATTTTCCTACATTTCTTTCCATGTTCAGGACGGAATTTTGATAAAGATGGCGACCTCAAAGACTGGTGGACTCCATCTTCAACTCAGAAATTCCATGAGCTTTCCAAATGCATTGTGGACCAGTATGGAAGCTACTCTTGGGATTTGGCGAATGGACAAAATGTATTCAATAACATTTTTTTTTAATTACAAATATAAAGGTTATGTAGTACATGATGTACATTCAAATAAAGCTTACCATGTTAAACCATTTAGCAAACATTGTTTAACATAAAATAATACAGTTCTATCTACCCTACTGTGCAAGGCTGTTTACCATATGTGGCACATTAGACTTTCATTCATTGGTTCCTCTTAGCTATCTGTGAGTTTCTGACAGCAGTAATTTGGACCTTATTAGTCCTACAAATAGTTTTCCTGGAACTAGAATAAGCTGTGATTTTCTAGAGATGTAGAAAGACATCTAAATTACTGTCTTATTTTCCATCCCCTTTCTTCTTTTTTTCTCTCTTCTGTCCTTTGTGTGAACAGCTAAATGGGAATAATACCCTTGGGGAGAATATTGCTGACAACGGGGGCATTCGCCAGTCTTATCAAGTAAAGAGAGGGCATCTTAGCCTTCACTGCAGCTCTTTTGACATCCCTCTTTACTGCTAGAAGAATTGGTTTAGTTTAATATACTTTCTCACTTCCAAAAGGGGCCAAAATTTCAAATCATTTTGAAATATGGATCTAATTCAAGTCTGTGCAGTCAAAAAGAGTTAGGTTGAAGGTTAAAAGAAAACGTGATGATAGATACTCATATGCTGAGCAGAGAAGGCAGCTCAGTTTGTTCTGCCGTGGATGGACTTCTGTCTGACTGTGATGACAGTGGGAACTGGCTTAATAGTTTAGATTCTTAGAAAAGCCAAACGGGGAGAAAATGGCTCATGGACTACAGTTCAGTTTGTTTAATACTAGGCCTCACTGAACCATCAAATATAGTCAACAGAAATATAAGATATAATCACAAATCTGTTACTTATTAACATTCAGAAAGCCTTCAGGAGGCATTTGGCCGTAAGATAAATCTTCATGTCTGATGTTAATTATTATTTAACAATTTGAGAGACAAGAGTTTGTTTTCAGTAACTGCTTCCCAAGATTCATCAGAATCACTGTGCTTACTTTTTCAGGCCTACCAGAACTATGTGAAAAAACATGGGAAAGAAGCTCCTCTGCCTGGAATTGACCTCAGTCACGAGCAACTCTTTTTCCTTAACTTTGCACAGGTGAAACACTTAATTATAACTAAGAACTTGCAGAAATATTCCAGGTTCAGTACAAGGTAAGATCAATTGACAGCACCTGTGGCATAATGTTGATTACCACAGAAATGATTTTAATGTTGAATATAATGTTAAGTTATATTAAATTTTGCAACTTCATTTTCATTACAACATATAGCGGCCAGATTTACTAACAGTTTGCACCACCGCAAACCCTCTTTCGGCCTTAAAAACTCACACTAGTTTGCCCTGTTTGATCAGCCTGGCCCATAATGCCAATAAACCCTTAAACAACAGCTCAAATACATGATAGTTTTAACCGAATAATTAATCCAGGTGCTTTTATAAAATTATAAGCTTCACATTTCCTTTTTCTTTTTTGTGAAAATCAACATTATGCCACAAATGCAATACAACTAAGCTTACCTTCTATTGAACTTCCACATATGACCAGTCTGATGAATACAAATAGGAATGCTTTAATTAAGTTTTTTGAACATCCTTTTTTTTTTGTTGCAAGATTTGGTGTGGAACACACAGACCAGAGCATGCTGTCAACTCCATCAAAACTGATGTCCACAGTCCAGGGAAGTTTAGGTATGTTAACCGTCTTTCACTGAAAATGATGCACTTCTGTTTTATGCCTTCACACTGTCACAATCATGTCAGAATGTGTTGGTAATCACTACTTTGCCATTTCTCTTTGTACAGAGTTCTTGGGTCATTACAGAACTTCCCAGAGTTCGCTAAAGCCTTCCAGTGCCAGAAAAACACCAACATGGTGCCTGAGAAGATTTGCAGAGTGTGGTGATAGCTCAAAGAACAGAAGACCGGGGTTATATTGAGGGCCTGTGGTCTGTATACCCTCTCACCTCTCTGCTGACTCTTAGACCACTGTGGCAGATTCTGATAAATGTTCTCAACGATGTAAGTTATGGCCACTATGCTCAACTCCACCAGAGCACCTGAGCCATATACAGAGAGGGGGAGCTGACTCAATACACTCCTACAAGCACCGGCCAACTTATTTGATTACAGTTTGTGAGATCATTACTTAATTCATGGCTCTTACTGTTTTATACACTATGTAAAGTAAGTCTGAAGTATAAAGTAAAAAGCAAAACAACAAAAAAACAAAACAAATCTAAAGTAAAGATTATGTAGAGATACTGTCAAAAATGATCACATAATGTTAATCAAGTAAACTGTGAATTTGAGATATCAGTAGCATTATGTATATACATATTTATCACAATACTAGTATACATCCACTGCTTATAGTGGTCAACTTGATTAGATTCAGTAAGTAACTAAAGCAACCCCAAAATGCCAAGAATATTATGTATAGTACCATGGGAGTTAATAGATATTTAAGTGATTTCCAAGAAAATTGTTCAACTCTGTATTCATTTATCTGAATAGCAAATTTTCTAATTTGTACACAGCACATTGTAATTTAAAATATGTAGATTCATTTGTAATTTGTGTAATTGAATTAATTTTCCTTAGAAAATTTGCTTATTATGATACAAGATTAACTGGGACATTTTCTGTAAATCAGACACTGAATGTTTGATTTGAAAATCCCAAACATGACAAGACGGATAGACGTATTAAAATGCAAAGGTGTCTGCTTACATTATTTTAATGTGTTTGGTGTGTGTTTGTGTTATTTTTTCTTCTTTCAATGTGCTGGCCTTGATATTTGCTTGTATGAATGGGTGTGCATGTGACAAATAATGTCATTCTGTCAAGCGTCATTGAATTAAAGCCTTAAAATGTTTTTAATTCTATTGTTTTCAACATTTGTCAATGTTTTCATACGATGTAGAGGACTAAATTAATCATACTGAGACCAGACAGTATGCAGACAGTATGTTTATGCCAAAGATTTTTTACACATATCCTTACTTTTTTTTTTTTTTAAGAAAAAAAAAATCAATATATATTTTATATAATTGTTTCTGAAATGCTGGTCCCAACATACCTATTACATCTTCATTAGCAATGACACAAACTGCCAAATTAATGTTTTTTTTTCTTTTTCACATTTTTGAAAATGCAGAAGCTTGTATTTGTGATATTGTTAGTTATCAGGTATAGTAACTGTACATTACATTAGCAGTACAAGATATATTCATTTTCGTGGGCATATGGATACTGTACGTTTAAAAACAAAAGGTTCAAAGGAATTTAGCCTGAAAGCTCCTCTGTGCTGTGTCAACAAAAACATCAAAATGCTGCTGGTTTTTTTCTTTACCTTTTTGTTCTATTCTTTCTATTTGATCCCAGGGGGTGTTTCTTCTCAGTATTATTTGATATTTTACATCTTTGCACATAGTTTTTTCCCTCTCATAAAATACAGTTCACCAAAATCCATCTCAACCGCTCCACAGACCAATATACCTCAGATGCTTGTATTTAGATACTTTGTAATAAGCATATTCAGAAGAGAATTTTGTTTTATTAATAAATTGTTAATGTAAAATTTCTTTGTTGTGCATTTTGTTTTCTCAAGGTCTCTGCTTCTTTGATGGAAAGTGTTGAACAAGGAACAAAAACAGGCCTCACAAACCTCTGTGGCATTTTCTTTGGCAGGCAAACAAGCCCTGGGAGACTGTAATGCAGAATATCAGCAGCCCAATGAAAAGAAACACTGTTATTTTTCCGTATGTAATGCCATTACACTGCACTGAGTCAGATTTGGTTGGGGTACTTGCTCCCACATGGGGACTTGCAAAAGTAGAAGTGTACAGCCCTTTGCAGTGTGTGCTCACAAATCTTCTGACCCTTGTAAAGCTTCACCACATATTTGCTGCTCTTCACTTCATCATATTAGTCCTGTAGGTCCTGTGCACCGTCTTTACTGCCTCTTTGCAGATAAGTTAAATATACCTCATGCTGCCACCCACCTGATTAAAAACAGATTTGTTGGCTGACTGGTGACAGGTTACAGTGAGGGCTGAAATTGAACTGCAGGTCAACCATACCCTCTTCACTCTCTGCTGCATATCACCCTTCAGCTTGTAATGTGTTTGATGTTGACACACAATGCATCTATTTATTTTTATCATAAGGACTTTTACATTACATTTTACAGTACATTGACTCTCACAGTACATTGAGCCAGTGACATTTTCTATAACCCTAAACGTAACCCTCACACAAATCTTTCTGCCTTCAAATTTGAATTAAAACACTCTGAATGTTTATTAAGCAGTTTTCCATGGGGACCATTTTCTGTTTCCGACAATGCAGACAAAACCTGACCACACACATACTGTGTAAAATCACAATCAAACACTAACAAATAATAAGTTTGTTGGCTATTTATTTGTTTTTTAAATGTATTATTTTATTTTATTGAATG